TGCTTGTTATCCAATTGAGGCAGAGGTAGCAAGATTAAGTCTGGAACGAATATGGGCAAATTAGTAAGACTGTTTTAAAATAAAGAAATAAAAAGGGCTGAGGATGTAGTTTAGTGGAAGAGTGCCCCTGGGTTCAATCCCCAGTACTGCCATCACCACTACAAAAACAAACAAACAAACATTTTGACTATACATTTTACCTTAAAAAGACATCATCACAAAGCAGCTCTTTTCAATTTTATTTTAGTTGTAGATGGACACAATATCTTGATTTTATTTATTTTTATGTGGTGCTGAGGATCGAAGGCAAGTGCTCCACCACCAAGCCACAACCCCAGCCCACAAAGCAGTTCTTTTAACTTTTTTTTTTTTTTTTTTGGTGCTGAGGATTGAACCCAGGACCTTGCACATGCAAGGAAAGCACCCTACCAACTGAGCTATATCCCCAGCCTCACAAAGCAGCTCTTTTTAACCCCAAATTATTGTCCCCAAATATGTTGTTGTTTTTCCAGTGACGGTTATATTTTTGTTCTGGCAATATATTCTGAAAAGCACAGTATCTCCAATTCTCAAAAGCTAGAAACTTTAACATTAGGAATTTGAACTCTTTAAGCTCAGATTAAAATTTTTTGTGCAATGGCTGAGTGAGGTGGCACAAGCCTGCACTCCTAAACTACTTGGGAGAATGTGGTAGGAGTTCAAGGCCACTGAGCAATAGTGAGACCTAATCTCAAAGTAAAACAGGTTGGGGATATAACAGTAGAGTGCTTGCCTATTACGTTTGAGGTCCTGGGTTCAACCCTTAGTGTTTCCTTCTCCACAAAAAAATAGAACTTGTGTAATAGTTTTTAATCACACAGTTCACCACTTGGTTAGGCATTCATATTTTCCCTAAACAGATGGTACAGGAACATTTCTTCCTTTATTTTATTTTTGTAGTAGGGATTGAACCCACAGGTGCTTTACCAATAAGCTGCACCCTCACTTTTTTTTTTTTTTTTTTTTTTTGAGACAGGGTCTCACTAAATTGCTTAGGGTTTTGCTAAATTGCTGAGGCAGGCAAGCCTCAAACTCCTTCTGCCTCAGCTTCTCAAGTCACTGGGATTATAGGCATGCATCACTGAGAGAGCAGACAGTGCAGAAGGCTAAAATTTATCAAACTCTCAGAGACAAAACCAAAATCAAATTAGCTGTTTATCAGTTGGGGGTAGTGGCAGAAAGTTCGCCAAACTTGAGACCAGCATTGACAATTTAGTAAGACCCTGTCTCAAAAAATAAAAGGGCTGAGGATGTGGCTTATTGGTAAGTGTCCCTGGGTTCAATCAAAAGTTATTGACCATATTACCATTTTAAGTTCATATTCATACTAAAATTGTGTTGTTTTCATGGTGCTGGGGACTGAACCCAGGGGTGCTCTACCTCTATCCTCTTTGTTTCAAGACAGGGTCTTGCTAAATCCCCTAGACTGGCTTAAACTCGCAATCGTTGGCCAGGCAAGATTGCACACGCCTGTAATCCCAGCAGGCTGGGAACGCTGAGGTAGGAGGATTGTGAGTTCAAAGTCAGCCTCAGCAAAAGCGAGGAGCTAGGCAACTCAGTGAGACCCTGTCTCTAAATAAATTATTAAAAAAAAAAAAATAGGGCTGGGGATGTGGCTCAGTGCCCCTGAGTTCAATCCCTGGTACCAAAAACAACAAAAAAGCTTGCAATCCTCCTGTCTCAGCCTCCTAGGAGCTGGGATTATTTATAGGCATCTGCCACTGCACGTGGCTGTACTGAATTCTTTTCAAGTCAAGTCAAATGGCAGGGAAATGTGTTTTTTCTTTTTACTGAGTGAACTTTGGCTTGCCACATGCAAGTGAACACTTAGGAAGTGAATGGTCTTGACTATCTTGAACCAGATTCTGACCAATTTTCATAGCACTATTCACATTAAACACATATTTTTTTTTCTAATGTCAAAGAGGTACTGAATCATACATCCTAATGTTCTATTTAATCAACCATTATGTTGAGTACCATTTTCCATGATGCTTACCAAAAGTCAAGATTTTACCAATTTACCTTGTGCAAAACATAACTAGAATGATCAGCATTAAAGACAAATACAAAACTATACAGAATTGAGAAGCCTATTTTTAGAACTATCATTTACATACCTCTCATGTTTCCAAAATATATTTTTTATATATATATATATATATATATATCATCTTTTAAAAAAATTCTCGGGCTGGGGATGTGGCTCAAGCGGTAGCGCACTCGCCTGGCATGCGTGCGGCCTGGGTTCGATCCTCAGCACCACATACAAAGATGTTGTGTCCGCCAAAAACTAAAAAATAAATATCAAAAAATTCTCTCTTTAAAAAAAAAAATTCTCATTTTTTTGGTATCAGGGATTGAAACCAGGGGTGCTTAACCACTGAGCCACATCCCCAGCCCTTTGTTATGTTTTATTTAGAGACAGAGTCTCACAGAGTTGCTTATGGCCTAGCACTAAATTGCTGAGACTGGTTTGAAACACAATCTTCCTGCCTCAGCCTCCCAAGCTGCTGGGATTACAGGTGTGCATGCACAGCTATATCACCTTTTGGTCCCAATCCACACACACAGATATCAACATTTCACATAATGTAAATGGGCCAATGTTATTAATGTATACCCTACACTAATACTCCATCAAGTTACGCTTTCTGTCCCATCACTTGCATGAACCAGTTTTTTTCTTTTTTTTTTTCCTTCAGTACCCATGGCCTCACACATGCTAGGAAAAGCACTCTATCTAACTACATTTCCAGATCTTCTAAGCCTAAATTCTTTTACCTAAATAAAATGGATGGCTTAAGTCAAGCTCATGGTGCACTACTTTTATCCCAGCTATATAGGAGGCTGAAGCAGGAGGATTGAAAATCCAAGGTCAACCTGGGCAACTTAGTGAGTCCTAGCCTCAAAATAAAATTTAAGAGGACTGAATATGTTACTCAGTGTTAGAAAACTTGCCTAGCATGAATTGAAGCCCTGGGTTTAATCAAGCACCACAGAAAAGAGTGTTTAGAAATGAACCTCTGTAAGTGACAAAGTTCTGATCCTAGGTGTAGCATCGTATTTAAAAATCAGAATATTCTATCTAAGGTAAATTTGGCATCCTAATCTAGGAAATTTGAATTCTAAGGATATAATATTCAAATATAACTAACCCCATCTCAGAACATTTTTTTAATAAATCATGACTCTGTATCAAGAACAATTACATTCCTAAGAACTCAATATTTTTTTCTAAGAAACAAAACTGACTTTTAAAGAAACTTCAGTTTTAGTAATATTATCATCCTTTAATCTGTTTAGAGCATGTTTAGACTTTTAAGATTGCAATGAAGCACACACATGAATTCATTTGAAGTATGAACAAACTACCATCAAACTTTTTAACATTTCAGTTTTCAAATGAAGGGTTTAATTTCAATGTTGTGGCTGCCTGTTATCCATTTAATACATTAATGATACATATTTTTTGCACACATTGAAGGAACTTAGTAAGACTGAAATTAATAGTGGTATGAAAGTTAGAATGCCACTGTACATTCAGATTTTAACTTCAACCAGTTACACAACTGTCAGACTCTATTCTTTAAAAAAAAAAAAAATCAAAGGTGTTTTTAATTAAAGAAGCATTTATTTAAACATTTTAAAAATAAAACCCGGTTGCATGAAATATACGTTGATTATTAAAATGTTCAACTTGACTCTAAAATAAATAATATTCGGAAGCTGTTTCATTAAAAAAAAAAAAACTTTGATTTAGGAATTATTTTTAATTATTGGTGGTTTTAGTTATTTTAATACCAAACCCAGAATTTTAAAAAGTAAAACTTGTTTCTCAGTTTGAAACCTAACTTATCATAAAAAAATATTTTTACATGGCCTGCTTTCTGTTTAGCATTGAAATCACAGAATTAGTAAAGCTAACAGTATACTTTGACACAACTGGTTATTAAATCTGTAGGACAAAATTTTTTGTATTTTTAAATTATCTTTTAGGTAATGTACAAGCAGTCTTATGCAGAAATGGGAAAGGTTTTTGCCTAACCAAAGAACATACTACTCGAAACATCAAAGAAAGAAGAAGAGTACTTCAGACTGGAGCAGTAATCAGTTCAAATGAACCGTATGGGCTCCTAGAAGGGCAAATAAAAACCACAAGAGGACTTGGATTTCATGGAAATCTCAAACTGAAAAAATCCATTATCCCAGCACCTCAAACTATTTCTATTCCTATGGATGACTTATGTCAATTCCTTATCTTAGCTACTAATGGACTCTGGGAAGTTTTGGATAAAAAGGAAGTCACTGCAATGGTAATAACAATGTTTCATATGTATAAAGAAACATACACCTCAATCACACAGTTAGAAGCTCTACCATCTACAGGGCCTCCGCTTCTTCCAAACAGTGACAAAAGTAATAACGAATTTGAAAGTGATATCCACATATTGTTTCAGTGTGAATCCGAATCTGAAGAATATGTGTCAACCACAAATTCAAAAAACTCGTCTGACTATAGTATTGATGACCCGAAAAATGAAGAATTATCTTCACCAACAACTAGTCATGAGAATGAAATTGAAAGTGTAGATGATGAGCAAACAAGTATAAAAGAATTAGGCACTAAAAATTTCTATGAAGGTGCAGCTGAGTATATTAGCCATAAACTTGTAAATGCTGCTTTAGAGGCTGGATCCAGAGACAACATTACAGTTATGGTAATATTTCTCAGTGGAAGTGAATATCACTTGCTGCCATAAAATATAAAGTTCTAATTATCCAGAGAACCAAAATATAATGCCACAAAGCAATTTGTTTATGAAGCAGATGTTAGGATGATACATCAATACCATGTAAATAATTTTAAGAAAGTAGTAAATATAAAAGTAGATTTTAGGTTACATAATATAATTTACATATGTTCACCATTTTATGCCAAAAAAGAGAAAAACCAGTACTTGCTTTTTATACCACTTTATTCCAACCTGAGCACCTCAATATAAAACTAAACACTGGTGAACTGTTTTCCTTACTAATTCTGAATTACTGTAAAATGTACAAGTTCTGCTAGCAGTTCAACACTTAAATAGATTAAATCATCTCTGACACATGGTAGATTTCATATAATGAAAAGACCTAAAATAATTAGTGCAATATACTGAACTGATTAAAATAAAATGGACTTTGAAAAACAAGGCTGCAAGATTGTTACTAACAATGCAATATTTATGTTACAAATTACAGGTACATTGTTTATTATGGTTCTAGTTATGAGGAACAACTGAAGCCCCTTCCTTTCAAAGGAGGAAGAAATAATTAGCTGTTTTAGTAACTGTACATTTTGTATACTTTAAGCAATTCTTAAATATTACAGAAAAATAATAGACATATGGAGACAATGCAGTACCCTATTTACAGTACAGATGGAAATCAAATTTAAAGTAATCAAGTTTGAATGTACATAATTGTTAGTGCACTGACTATATTTATATCCAAAGGGAACAAAAGCCCCTTCCCTATCCCCAAACAAGACCTATATAATGGCCAGCAGTGATTAAATATAAATCACAGACACCTGGTTTGTTTCATTTTTGTTGAAGAGCTCACATGAAGAGAACACTATTTATTAAATTGCATTTATCTGTTTTTATACTCTTAAAACAAGATGGGGCTACATTTGCTTTTTTACCCCATTTAAAAAAATAACGGGACTGGCTATAATTTTGATGCCACTAATTTCCTTTTTCTTCCTGGAGATGTGGGACGGTATTCTTATGGTTAATTTATTATTAAAATGTGGAATGTACACTTTAGATAAAAGAAATTATCATTTGCCTGAATACTGCAGCTAAGCATAAACATCTGGAGAATCCTAAAAATGTTTTTCGAAAGTCCAAATTAATAATTTCTAAATCTTTAACATAGATGACTACTGCTCCAGTTTGGAGAAACTGGATGGTTAGCTGTGGATCCAGTCATTTATCTTTATCTCTAATGATGACAAATGATTCCCTCGTAACCTTCCAATGAAACAAGTATACACATAGTTCTCATCTTCCCTTTCTATTGCTGTAACATTAGTTAGAGGGATACATGCATGTTATTAAAAATTAAGTTCAAAACACATAAAATAATTCTGTATTAGAAACTGGACTCTATCGTAAGTCTCTTCTTTTTGGAAGTCATACTGGGCCGGTTAAATGCTCCAATCCCGCTGTTAACATTTAGGAAGCAGAATATTCCAGCTAGTTCAAACTGGAGGTTTAGTTACTACAACATTGACTCCTGGTTGGTTGTGTAGGTTCAGTAAGGTCTACTCCTCTTCCTCTAGTAGAATTTGCTCCTGGATTCTGTGGTTCATTCTTTGGCAACTTTTTAGCTGAGAGACAAATTATTAAAATAAATAAAATTAGAATATTCATATTAAAATTACTTTTATCTGCTTATTTATAATTTCTTTCTAGTTATGGTTATATGATGGTCATTCACTGCAAATATTTATTTGAATGAAATGCCAAAAAAATCCCCCATTGATAGTTGTTCTAAGGGAGTATATGTTTGGGAAGGGGTAGATGACGACCAGTTGTAGAAACATAATCAAGACTTAAATTTGACTAGAGCTATATGTAATTCTTTATATATGCTTAATAATACCAATAATGTTTGTCCTCCCCGGTGCAACCTAATTATCACCCAGAATTATGAAGATCACATCTCCTTTTTCTTTCTTGGCTTCTACAGTCTTCAACCATCTACCTTTTCTTCCCTTAGAAAACTGCCCTGCCCTTTCCCCAGTGAACAGAGCCTTCAATATACTAGGCAAGTGCTCTACCACTAAGTTATACTCCCAGGTCCTTTTTTTCCCTTATGTGCTGATAAAGAATCCTCATCTGATTCACCAGTAGTTGTATCTAATTATAACTGATTCTAAAAGGTCTATCTCCAAAAACTAGATCCCAATTCTGTTTTGAGTTAAGATGAGTGTGGCTGATCAAATTTGGACAAAGCCCCTGAACCAGCATTTATGGCTTTAATTTTGCTGAGTTCTGCCAGCTAATGGATACTTTCTAGAGTATGAAAAATGTATCTAGCTTGTTTAATTACTAAGGTCCTTGAAGTTGCTGGATTCACTTTTTGAGGGGAGAGGTTATTAACATTATATGTCTAGAGTTCTTATTGTAAGGGTGTTTGGACACTGATATCTATCAATCTTGGAGATGCAATACCATGGGAAGACTAATTTTACTATAGCCTTGATTCAGGTTACTCAGGAAGCTGAATATGTTCTACTTTAAAATCTGATTGCTTAGTTGCATTTTGGATCTTTTACCCTTTATTTATTCTGTTCCACATCAGCACTAATTATCTTTAGAATCCTAGATGCTGGTTTGGGAAATGGATCCAGGAGACACAAAGGAGCACTGAAGTTTGGGTTCTAGGTACAGCTCCAGGAATGGCTCTACAAGATGGTAGCATAAATGGTAATATAATGTTAAATTTCTAGTTAAATTTATTTATAAACAATGCCTTGTAGGTGCTGAACACTAATACCAGAGGTAGAATAAGTTAGCATTATAAACTGTACTATAATTAACACCAAGTTAGGTTTTGGAATGAGTAAGCATTTCTCTCTTTAGCTTACTTGTTTCAGGGCTTTCAGAAATTACATCTGAATAAGATTAGGAGGTTGAAGGAAATAAACTGGAATGAGTTTTTAAGTCCTTGAACTGATTAAAATTGTTCAGTGCACTACTGTGTGATTTAAGGTACTAATCTTGTGATGAGAAGAGCACAATTCCATTTATATTTCGAATTTCTTTCAAGTAGGGAAACATTCTGCATTGCGGATGTAATTCAGTGGCAAAGTGCTTGCCCAGTACGCGTGAGGCCCTGGGTTTGATTACCAGAACCAAAACCAAAACCAAAAACAAAACAAAAAAACCCTAAAACAATAAACAAACATACATTCTCACTGGGGTGGGAGGGATGGAGGACACTAATCTGTAGGCTACTTTATAATGAAAAGTGACCTTATATAACATATATGAATAAAAGGCACAAATTATAGCCCACCCTATGATCTTTCTTTTTCTGTAGTACGGGGGACGGAACTCAGGGCCTCAGGAATGTTAAGACAACAAGTGCTCTACTACTGAGCTACAACCTCAACCCAGTGAAGTCTTAATACCATGGAAAACTTGAAAATCCAGGCTGATTTGAGCAACCTATTATCTCCTTGTTTCCTGTTATTAATTTTTAAAATGTGATTATGCGCATAACTTGTCCCATTTGTAAGAACAGCATGTTGTCATATATAATCTTTCAAATGGTACTAGTATTTCCTTAGCAAATTACTTAAGTTTTTCAGGAAAACATCTTACACAACAGGCAAGTTTTTTTTTTTTCCCCATTTCAAATAATCCACCATTAAGCTTGATCACCTAGTGCAAATTATGAGTCCTTGGATGCTTTTACCGGGTTTTCTTTAGCCTTTGATGCAGTTATTAATTGGTTAATTTGTTAAGTTCAATATAAGAATGTTTCTTTTGGAGGGTCAGAATTGTGTACACCCTAGTTAAGAATCGCTGGGATGAGAATAATGCCAGGGTCAAGAAAACTGTGGAGGCAGTAAACTCTTGATAACTACCAAACTAGACCCCCTTCAGGCAGACTCTGCATACCTCAAAACCACTGGAAGTAGGTTAACAGAAATATATTTTGTTTTTGTTAATTTTTTTTTTAAAGGCTTGATACTGGGCTGGGGTTGTGGCTGAGTGGCAGAGCGCTTGCCTCACATGTGTGAGGCACTGGATTCAAATCTCAGCCCCACAATAAATAAATGAATAAATTAAGATCCATCAACAGCTAAAAAAGGCTTGAATACTACTCAAACTTTATTACCTATAATCAAAAACTGAAATAGAAATTACCATGCTAAAAGCAAAGATATTGTTTTGCCTTCCTTCTTTACCCTTGTGCCTTCATGTCTGAAATCTTCTACAATGTTTACATTAAAATAATTTTTGGGGCTGGGAATGTAGTTCAGTGGTAGAATGCTTACCTAGCAAGCATGAGGCCCTGGATTCAATCCCCAGCACTACACCACCACCAACAAAACAAACAAAAACATCACCCTCCACCAAAAACCAAACCAAACCAAACCAAACTACCTAAAATAATCGATTAGTCAATCTTTATACTTATGTATAATGTACTTTTCTGAGTTATATTAATACTTCAAAAAACGTGAGAAACAGAAGTAGTGCTCTATTCAGAGCAAAGGAGAAACCAAATTATTGATTAGCTAAAAAAGAAATATTATGTCTAAATATTGCTCTGAGTTTTTGTCTTGTTTTAGGAGTCTATATGTATCTGTTACCACAAATGAGTAAGGTCAGAAAATATTAAATGGAAAATCCCAGAAATAAACAATTGACAAGTTTTAATCTGCATGCTGTTCTGATTCAAAGGAAGAAATTTTGTACCATCCTGCTCTGTCCAACCTGGGACATGAATCATCTCTTTGTCTAGTATATCCACATGTATATGCTACTTGCCCATTATCAGCCCCCACTACTCCCCTCCCCTCTTCTACTACTAGCTATATTTCCAACCTTTATTTTTTATTTTGAGACAGGGTCTTGCTAAGTTGCTTAGGGCCTCGATAAGTGGCTGAGGCTGATATTAAACTTGAGATTTTCCTTTCTCAGCTTTCCAAATCACCAGGATTACAGACATGTGCCACTGCACCCTGCTCCCAATACTTCTTAGTAGCCATCTTAGTTATCAGATTTACTGTTTCAGTATTGTAGTATTTTGTTCAAGTAAGCCATATTTTGCTTAATAAAGGCTCTGAAGTGCAAGACGATAGATGCTGGCAGTCTATAGATGCCAAATAAAAACCATTAAGTGCTTTTTTCAAGTGAAAAGGTAAAAGTTATGGATTTAAAAAAAAATCTGATACTAATGCTGCTAGGATCTGAATAAAAGCAAATACTTGGGGTTGCAGATGGAACTCAAGACTTTTGAGGCCCTAGGTTCAATCCCCAGCATCAATTAAAGAGAAAATAATCTGTGAAATTGTGATGGAAAGAGAAATCTGTGCTAGTTTTGTTGTTTCATGTCAAACTGCAAAAGTTATGCCCACAGTATGTGATACCTAGTTAAAAGATGAAAAAAGGTCATTTGTTTCAGAGTCAAGGGGAAAAAAGATTGAAAAGGCATTAAAAATAAGAGTTCAATACTATCCAAGGTTTTAGGCATCTGCTGAAGGTCTTGGAATGTACTTCCCATAGATAAGGAGGAATTATTTGGTATAAAAAGTATACCATAATAGAAAAATATGCATTTACCCAAACTTTTCGGTGAAAGCTTTGGGAAAATCTGTTTAACTATCAATCCACTCCCAAGCATAACTCATCTGGAAGAAATTTGCCTAAATTGAAGCGTTACAACCTAATAGGTAGTGACTTTTCAAGTCTAACGATATTATCAACAGTGTTGCTTAGCAGAAGGAACCTTGAAAAGTAGTACAATTTTTAAAAAGCAAAGAATGTTTAATTCAGATAAATCAAATATATTCCATACTTGTTTTGTTTATCATTTGAAAAAAAAAGTATTATTAACCTTACCTATTGCCATGAATATTTCATTTACATTCATTGATGTTTTAGCTGATGTCTCCATGAATAATAAACTGTTGTCATCTGCATAGGACTGTGCTTCCTGTTTACAGAAAAAGAAATGAGATACATTCCTTGGACATATACTATAACTGCTTTATTTCTGTTGCAGAAAAAATGAGGCTTCTTATCCACACTCCAACTTGGTTATCTATAATCAATAACTATGTAATATGCTATAACAAAGATAGAAGCACTATCTGGGGATAATTTTACCATGTAATATACATATATATTTCACCTTAACTTCTTACACTATCTTCCCTTAATCATCTGGTCTAATATTAAATCTGCTTTTTAATAATGAGTTTGGGGCAGGTGTGGGGGTAGGGGATTATTACCCTATTCTAAATATAAAACTCTCTTTGATTTCAATGGTGATTTTTACTTATGCCTATATTAACTGTAATGAAGACTAAGAGAAATCAAATGTCTAAAACTGACTTCAATCACTGAATGACATCCTCATGTTTAATTTTTAATGACTTCTATAGTAACACAATTTTGAACATCTCATGAATCATTCCTTTCAAAATTACACTGCCGCCTCACATTTTTGTCATACTTTACAGTTTACATATATTATTGCTTTTTATCCTCATAGCTGTTTTGAGTAACAACCAATTATCTGTCCCATTTGACAAACAACCGAGGTTCCTTTGAACTTTAATATGACAGGGCCACTTTTGACTATAATTTAGTGCTCTCTATATTATTCTATAATGGGGAAGTAACTGTCTAGGAAAGAATAATAGATGTTACTACACCTCACACAGTTGGTACAAGAACTGAATGAAAACTATGCATGTAATATGCTCAGCTTAATACCCAATGGTGCAAGAAATAGTTTGCTTTTGATCAGTGCATGCATTCCATCTATCACCATCGAAAAAGAAAGATAGAAAACAGGGAAGAGATAGTGGTTGGAGTGGGATCAGATAACAAATATCCAGGGAAGATTAGTGGACTAGAAGGTGGAGAACAAGAGGGAGGGAGGGCAGGGGAGGAAATATTGAATTAATTTAACAAAACCATGTTATATGCATATATAAATACCAAAGGGAATTTCACCTTTATGTAATATGTAGAAAGTACTAATCAGACACAAATAAAGAGGAGCCGGGCATGGTGGTGCATATCTGTAATCCCAGTGGTTTGGGAGGCTGAGGCAAGAAGAATCATGAGTTCAAAGCCAGCCTTGGCAAAAAGTGAGGTACTAAGCAACTCAGTAAGACCCTATTCTCTATAAAATACAAAACAGGGCTGGGGATATGGCTCAGTGGTTGAGTGCCCCTGAGTACAATCCCCGCCACCAGAAATAAATAAATAAATAAACAAATAAACAGAGCTGGGGATATAGCTCAGTTGGTTGAGTGCTTGCCTTGCATTCACAAAGCCCTGGGTTCAATCCCCAATACCACACAAAAAAAAGAAAGAATGAAGGAACTCAGGACCTTGTGCATGTGAGGTGAGCACTCCACCAACAGGAAGGAAGGAAGGAAAGGAGGAAAGAAGAGAGGGAGGGGTAAAAGGAATATCAGTAGAGTACAGAAAAGACAATGGAGGAGGGGGGAATGGGAACTGAAATCAAATTCCTTGCATAAATGATTTGTCAAAATGAACCAAACCACTATGTATAACTATAAGGCTCTAATAAAAAAAATGAACATTATTTCATCCCTGATATTTGACCACATCCAGACCTTTCTGGTAGACAAGCTAAGAGCAAAAAAACCCCAATAATTTTAAAAGGGTTTAATTAGAGGATTTCAAATGATTAACACTTGCTTTGTAAAAAAAATTGTGTATGTGTGTGTGCCCGCATGTGCAATTCTGAGGACAAGATCCAGGGATTATGCATATGCTACGCAAATGCTCTACCACTGAGTTATACCTCCCACCCCCATCTAGAGTTATATTTTAATGAGCATTTTATACATCTGATTTATAAAACAGATTTTATAAATCTGTTATTTTCATGGTTTTAAAATCATTTGCCCCCATCTCAAAAAAGTGCCTTCAAGTTAAATTCAACATACCTGGAAATCTACATAATAAAGCAAAAATTCATTTATAATTCTGAATTAGCTGTCACAAATAATATACAAACTAGATCTTAAGTGTTTTTTCTTCTTTGGTACTAGGATTGAACCCAGGGATGCTCTATCACTAGGCTCTATCCCTAGACCTTATTTTTGAGACAGCGTCTCATTAAATTACTCAGATTGGCCTTGAACTTCCAATCCTCCCACCTCAGCCTCCCAAGTAGCTGCGATTACAGGGCTGTATTATTGTATCAGGCAAGCAATCACTTTTGCTTATGTATTTCTGCACTGTTCATGAGCAATTTTTTTGGGGGGGCGGGGAGTACTCAGGGATTGAACCCAGGAGCACCCAGCCACTAAGCCTCATCCCCAGCCCTGTTTTGTATTTTATTTAGAGACAGGGTCTCACTGAGTTGCTTAGTGCTCACTTATGCTGAGGCTGACAAAGAACTTATGATCCTCCTGCCTCAGCCTCCTGAGCCACTGGGATTACAGGCCATGGGACACCGTGCCAGGTTGTGAACAATTTTAAAAAATTGTTTAGGTTGACAAAATCTTTGAAACAGTGTATATATATCACAATAATATATGGCTTAAAAATTCAGATTTATCAGGAGAAAAAAAAACTGTGTGTTATGTGCACATGTGCAATTCTGGGGACAAGATCCAGGGATTATGCATATGTTAGGCAAATGTTCTACCACTAAGCTATATCCTTCAGCCCCATTTAGAGTTACATTTTAACATGCATAGCACTTTTATAAATCTTTTATTTTCTATTATTTGCATGATTTTAAAATAATTTGCCAAAAAAAAAAAAAAAAAAAAGTGCCTTCAAGTGAAAGTTAAATTCAACATACCTGGAAATCTACAGCTCTTTTATTTGCTAGATCAGCCTTGTTTCCTGATAAAGCTATTACAATGTTGGGACTTGCTTGCCTCTGAAGTTCTTTAACCCAGTTTTTGGCTCTTGCAAAGGATTCCTGTTAAACAGAGGAATAGCTATTTGGCACAGCTCAAAAAATGGTAAGGAAGCATCTTCATGAGATAAGGCTTTAAAAGGTGACTCTACGGGAAGGAAATTTCTTTGGACTGTTTTATTATTTGAGACATTTTTTCTTTTTTAATCAAAAAGCTTTAGTAGAAAGGTTCTATTTGACTATCAAAGGATTTTCAAAATCTCTCATCAAAATTCTGAATACCCAAAACAGATATTCAATCTAGTTTCAATGTTTGAAGGCATTTGTACTTACCTCATTTGTGATATCATATACAACTATGGCTGCTTGTGCTCCTCTGTAGTACATTGGTGCTAAGCTGTGGTATCGTTCTTGACCAGCTGTATCCCATATTTCAAACTTTACCGTTGTGTCATCAAGACACACAGTTTGGGTCAGAAAAGCAGCTGAAAAAAAAAATATATCACTTAAGTTCATCATTTTCTTGCAAATGCCTTCATAATATAAAAAATACTTGGAAAATGTGATCATAGCATACCTGCAGTTAATACAAACTTAAAGTAGTTGCAAACTCTGTACTTCAAAACTAGATTTTATAGATGTCTACATGAGACCTCTGTAGTGAAATTACATACAGAAAAAGGTTTAATAAAAATTTTATAAAAATTTTGTTGTGGGGTTGTAGGTGTAGCTCAGTGGGAGATCACCTGCTCAGCACACACCAGGCCTTAGGATTTATCTCCAGAACTGCAAAAATGAACATTGTGTTATAATTTTAAAAAGTTTAAGAATGTGTTTCTAAATTGCAAAGCAATTTAAGTATATGTAAATTAATATTCTTGACCAACGTGGAGAAAAAACAGCTGTCCTCTGCATCTATGAATTCAACCAAGTGTGGATTGAAAACATCCACAAAAAAGCATCTCTCTGCTGGGTATGGTGGCACATGCCCATAATCCCAGTGGCTTGGGAGGCTGAGGCAGGAGGATCCCAAGTTTGAAGCCAGCTTCAGCAACTCAGTGAGATCGTGTCTCAAAATAAAAAAAAGGGGTTGGGGATATGGCTCAGGGATTGAGTGTCCCTGGGTTCAATTCCTAGTACCAAAAACCCCCAAAACCTGAACACATACAGATTTTCTTTCTTGTCATTATTCCCTAAACATTACAGTATAGCAACTATACACACAATATTTACACTGTATTACATATTATAAGTAATCTAGATGATTTGAAGTATATGGGAGAACAGAGATAGGTTACATGTACTTTATAAAGAACCCGAGCAGTAGCAGATTTTGGTACCTGTGGGGATGGTTTTGGTATGTATGATCTAGAAACAATGCCCCACAGATACCTACAAACAACTGTATATTTATAAACAACATCTGCATTGGTAACAATATACCTTGTTCCATTTTCCTGTTTTTTATTGGCACATTATAGCACATCATTACTTCAGTGTAGATTTAATTTGTTACATATATTTAATATTCGCTACTACCTCTTTTGTCCTTTGCTCTAAGAATTTTTGGATTTGTACTTTTTTGTCTGTGCTTTTCTGATTCCAACTTTACTAAGAAAGTACCATTATAAAATAATATTTTATTGTTTAATTAGAAGATCCACACATAAGGGCTGGGAATATAGTTGGGTGGCATGTCTGAAACCCATCAATCACCAGCAAAACTCCCCCCCCCCCAAAAAACCCCCCCCCCCACACACATAGCCTACTTCAGCAGCTTGCTGGTTAATAGCCATCATACCTTACAATTCCTCTCCTCCATTAACTTTGATACTTAGATCCCTACTCTGCCCTGTCACTCATTGTAAATTGTTGGGTTCCTCCCTCCCTTTTAGTTTCAGCTCATTAAACCTCTTCCTAAATTTGAATTACAAAATTTTCTGAAACTGTTATATCATCCAAAATAATGTGATGCATCTGTATTTTAACAATACATCTATTTTTCATAAGATTGGCTAATTAATATTAAATGTGACAAGTCTAATTAAATGCATTTCTTTAATATTAGATTGACTATTTGTTTCTCATGGTGTTTTTTAATAGGTCAACTGGTTGCTGGTTTTAGTACCAGCAACTATAATCTTATGAATTTTGCAAACTTAATTACAAATGTCTGGTGAACTAGATTCTAATGCACCGTTTTATGAGTTCTCAAATAGTCTTATTTAAGATATATTCTATTTCAGCTCAAACTTCTTTTGCCAAACATAAGTCTTTTCTCAAATCCTGTATTTGTTTCAAGGATACACAGACTGTCATGAAAACAACTCTTATAGAATAAAAAATATTTCTTAACAGCTGAAATCAAGAACAGTTTGATGCAAACTCGGCAGATATTGTTTTCTCTTTTAGACATACAATGACCACAAAGCACATTAGTAATAAAAATATTCATTTAAAATTCTGTAAATCAACCCTAGGCTCAGGTAAAATAAAACTTTGCTGCTTCAAAGAAAATATAGTGTAATACTCAAACCAGTTAAAACTACCACAAAGACCACCAATCTTCTTTAAAACATGTACAAAAATGCCACATAAAATACAGGCAAAGAAATATACATTAAAAGAATAATGGCCCCTGAGCAAACAGAGACACTTTCAGGAATTCAAAGCTATTACAGTAAGACTAAAAGAAAACTTAAAGTATTTTTATTAAAAAAAATTTTAAAATTATTTAAAATTTTTTAACATTAATAAGACATCTGTGTTGATATCCAGTCCAAATACATACATAGGATTCTTCCTCAGAATTTAGCAAATGTCTTATCCTTCAAGCTAAAATCAGATTATATTTAACAGCAAAGCTCTTAGGCATTCTCTCTAAATCATAAAACAAGGACATCCAATATCACCATAATTTAATATTATTTCATATATTCTTATAACAAAATAAATTATTAAAAAGATATGTTCTTTGAGAGAAGCAGGATTGCCATGAAAACAAACGTTTCAGTTAAAACAGATGATTTCTTAAATTTGGCTGGAACAAATTGAAGTCAACACCATTACAATACACTGGCAATAACCAAGTGAAAACATGTGAGAAAGGGAAAGCATCTCAGTTTAACAAAGAACATAAACAATCATTCCTTAAATCCACTTAGAAATGATTCTTCATCCCACCCTAGTTATTATCTCCTTTGTGCTCTTAGTTCCTTGCGTAATGACGTTTCACACTTTTTATAATTAGAGTTCCCTGAGAAATGACTATAGCTCCTCTCTAGCATTTAATATAAATCCTCATTCATAGAGACATTGAAAACTTTGTTCAAAGAATAAAGTTCACGTCGCTGGGGTTGTGGCTCAGGGGTAGAGCGCCTGCCTGGCATGTGTGAGGCACTGGGTTTCAATCCTCAGCACCACATAAAAATAAATAAAATAAAGGTATTGTGTCTATCCACAACATCAAAACAACAACAAAAAAGTAGTAGTTCAAAAACTGATATGTGGAACCATTTATGGGCTATTTTAGATAAGATCTAAATTAAAAGTTTCCAACTGGGAATAGATATTTCAAGTTATTATTATAAGGTTGAGTATCTCTAATCCCAAAATCTGAAATATTCCCAAAATTAAAAAATTGAGCACTGACATGATACCACAGTAGAAAATTCCACACTATGGAATCTATAACAAATTTATAACAAAATAAATTATTAAAAAGATATGTTCTTTGAGAGAAGCAGGATTAAAAATTTGTTTAAAACTTATTTAAAATATTCTATAAGATATGAATCTTGGGCTGCAGTTGTGGCTCAACAGTAGAGCACTCGCCTACTACAAACAAGGGGCTGGGTTCAATCCTCAGCACCACATAAAAATAAATGAAATAAAGGTACTGTGTCCAACTACAACTGAATATATATATATATATATATGATATGAATCGTATTTTATAGATAAGGTGATATCTATAAGACTACAGAGTCTTGCTATAATTGCCCAGGCTGGTCTCAAACTTTCGGTCCTCCTGACCCAGCCTCCTGAGTAGCAGGAATTACAGGTGTGGGTCACCATTCCTGGCTTGATTTGAAGCATTCTGGATAAGGAACACTTATAACCCATATAACTAAACATGATCTCAAACAAAAAACACTATCAAGATATTTTTAACTTGCTAACACTGTTCATATATGAAAAACATCATAATTTTGGGAAGGGGAAAAAGACTAATTAATATTAGAGGTCCAAGTAGTTATTACAATGTATCAAAAATAGTCAAGTGCTATGGCACAAACAGGACAGAAATATTACTGGAGCAGAATAGCCTAGAACACAAACTCTTGTACACACACACACACACACACACACACACACACACCAAGTCCTTAATGACAACCCAGAGTTCTCAAGTATTCAAATACAACTATAGTGTTCAGCTTCTCTTAAAATTCAGTGCAGTATAACTAAAATTTAAGTGACATCTTCAAATCCTTATTGCTCCTAAAAAAAAAAAAAAAAAAGCTTTACTAGTCATTTATAAAAATAAATTCTGCCACTAGAAATATTAACTACTACATCAATACCGTAGCAACATTAACCAACCACAAACTTACCTGAATCTGAAAAACCACTTTAATTTATCCAAAATGATTATTTTCTGGCTAAGAACCATCACTTTCTTAGACCTCTTCATTTTCTCTTGACTTCCATCACCAGCACTAGCAGTTGGTTTTCTTTTCAGGCCCATATTTCACAAAGAAACATCTTTTATCACTTCGAGAGTTACTGCATACTCGATGACAAGTAGAGAAAAACAAAGCTGCGTTGAGATGCAGGTGCTGGCCTATCTAATAGACTCCCTCTTTGAGCTACATGATGAACTCCTATTAGCAAGTTTGGTAGGCAAGCCAAGGAACATTTCTTCCTCAGCAAAACTACAAATTACTATATCATAGAGCTTAAGGTCAATGGAGAATAGCTAAAACCACATATATAAATCTGCAAATACCAAAGGCCCATAGTATGTGAGACCCTATACAATGAGCAAGGAAGAGACACTAAAATACTCTGGGCAAATGAAAAAATATTTGAATTGCTATTGTTAACCCAAAGATTGGTGAAACCTAAAGATAAGCTCCCCTACATCTAATATGATCCTATAAAAACTGAAAAACATACCATTCCCACCCCAGGTCACAATTATTATTTACAGTGCCAGGAATCAAACCCACAGCCTTATTCACACCAGGAAAGCACTCTACCACTGACCTACATCCCCAGCTCTCCAAGTTATTATGTATCAACTTTGATAGAAAAGAAATATTTTTTGGAATTGTGAAAAAATGTCAGATATGACAATCAGGTTTGATTATACAAAAATTTGAGACTTCAAGTTTGCAAAGGTGAGTCATACATCCAAAACACAGGGATTTAATATTTTAATATGTAGAAAGCTCTAATGAATCTAATGAATCTTAAATGC